GACGTGACATGTTCGTACGAACCCTTTGTACGAACAAAAGTAAGAGAAATTTAGGATAAGAATACGAACATGTTCTTGCATGAGGCCCAATGGGTGTTAAAATTTAACATAATCAACACTTTTAACCAATCAGAGGAGAGAACCTGTGACTTTTATAAATTCAACTTTAAAATTAACTTTATTAGAAAATGTCCTTTTGTTATTGCAAAATGCATCAGAAATCCTGTTTGTTTGACAGAGGAAATCCTTTCATCAGTTTTTGTGATTTTTAAAACATTTTATTTATAATCTTACCAGTCAAAATCATTACAAAAAGACCTGCCTTTATCTCCGTCTCTGAGTGAAGCTCACACATTTTAAATGTAAGGAACATTTCTTTAATTCCTTTCAGATTAAAGCAGATAATCTGAAGAAAGTTTCCTCCTGTGAGTTTCTGTCACACACTGGACCCTGATGAAGAGTATGAGTCCAGGCTGCTCTTCATCCCTCCAGGAAGTAAAATATAAGCCACCTGAGGCTGGAAGGAGACGGAGGACCAGGCACTGCAGCCGCACGGGACCACGTACCCTGGTCCGGAGGGGGGAGGCTGCGGCCCCCCCAGCCCTGCTGTCTGGTAGCAGAGGCTGTAAGCGCTGTAGGGTTGGACAGCTCCGGAGCCAAACTGAGGCTCCAGGAACACAGAGGAGGAGGAAGAGGAGGGTGAGAGGAGAGGTCTGCGTTTATCCCCTGCTGGGAGGAAGAAAGGGTCCGGAGAAAACCCCTTCAGAGGCTTCGACGGCAGCGGGTAAACCAAGCGGTCCCTCTTCAGGGGACCCGGTCTGGGTTTGCGCCGGGGTCTGTACTTGTAGTCCGGGTGCTCCTTCATGTGCTGAGCCCGCAGCCTCTTGGCCTCGTCGATGTAGGGTCGTTTCTCAGAGTCAGAGAGCCTCTTCCACTCCACGCCCAGCCTCTTACTGATCTCTGAGTTGTGCATCTTGGGGTTCTCCTGAGCCATCTTCCTCCTCTGACCCCTGGACCAGACCATGAAGGCATTCATGGGTCTCTTGATGTGATCCAAAGGTTTGGCCATTTCAAAGTCCAACAGTCTCATTCAGATCCACTCAGGGTGACTTCCTCCTTCAGAAAGGTCACACTCCTTTTGTTTGTAAAAAAAAAAGGTCTCCGGTAAAGAAGAAAAGAGAGAGCATGAGTCCAAAGTGAGGGCAGCACGTGCAGCGCCGAGCTGAACAACCACAAAAAGTCAGGGTGGGTGCACGGAGGAGAGCAAAGCTTGTTGTGGATTACTCAGAGCGTGGYCCCCACTCCTCAACACACTGAGGGCCACACCAGTGAGAGAGAGACCACCGTAATCCCTCTCTTCTGCTCTCTCTCTCCCACAGGTTTTAATCTCTAAACATTTCTGCTGAGACAAGAGAAGCTTTGGGCGGGAAAAATCCCGGACTGGACTGTGGGGTCCGAACAGATGTGTTCAGACTCTAACTGGACCTGAACCCAATAAATCACCAGAATCACTGAATGATTTTTAATCTGACTTATCTTCTGATGTCTTTTTAAAAAGAAGAGATGTTTTGAGTAACTCATAGCAGAAAAAACCCAGATTACCATGACCATTTTATTTAATCTGGTTTTGAGACAAGTTAAAATCACTTTAATTGACTTCTTTAGCTTTTAATTGAGGCCAACCCCACATTCAGCTGACCGTCTTTAACAGCCACACTGACCAGGTTTAACCTGAAGACTGAAGAAGTTCAGACAGGTTGTAAAATTCATAAACCCATGTTTTATTTTCTGTGGAACAAAGAAAATATCAAATGTTTAAACTAAGAAACTGTACAATTTTATAGGAAAATAATGTAATTTTAAATTTGATGGCAGGAACACGACTATTTAAAGTTGTTCCAGATGTTTCCCCTCTGTGGAAAATCTCCTCTTCTAACAACAGTCTGTAAACCTCCAGGACCAGTGGAGACCAGTCCTGGAGGTTTTGCAGGGAATGTTGACCCATTTCTRTYTRATGGAGGATTTTAGCTGTTTTRGRTCTTTTCTATTTGTTCTGTTTCATGATACATCAAACGTTTTCAGTTGRTGAGAGGTCTGGACTTTAGGACCTGGACTCTTCTTCTATGGTWTCATGTAATGGATGCAGTCTGTGGTTTAATGTTGTCTTCCTGATATTGAAGATCTTTCCTGAAAAATATGTCATCTGGATGTGAACAGATTATCYAAAACCTGTAGATGTTTTTTCTGTGTTGATGAAACTTTTCCAGATGTGTAAAATGTTTGTGCCAGAGGCACTAATGCATCCCCATACCATCAGAGAGGCAGGTTTTTGAACTGTGCAAAGACAGTCTGGATGGTCCCTCTCCTCTTTAATATGGATGTATCCAAGCATGGATGGATGGATGGATGGATGGATGGATGGATGGATGGATGGATGGATGGATGGATCCATCTGACAGAACAGTTCTCCTCTTTGTCTCGGCCCATTTTAAATGATCTTTAGTTCAGAGACGACAGCAGAGGTTCTGGATGGTGCTCACATGTCTTCTTCTTTGTGTGATAGAGCTTTAAACAGCATTAATGAATAACACAGTGATGTGTGGAAGTGTTCCTGAGTCCAYRCAGAACAGAAMCAGACCTGTTTTTAATGCAGGGACCCCTGAGGACCCCAAGATCACAACGATCCAGTATTTACTTTCAGCCTTTGAGCTCAGAGATTTTCTACAGATTATATAATCTGTTGATGAGATTATAAACTGGAGATAATGGAGATTTTAGAGTCATATCAAGGAACTTTATTCTGAAATTATTTCGCTTGTTTTAGACTCAGACCAGTCTGTCCATCTTTATCTCCTCCAGCTGTTTCTGTATACTAGCTACTTTGACAGGATTTTATTGTTTCTGCCATAGAGTTCAAAGCTATCTCATTTTGTCCATTAAAACTGTACATTACTTTTTTAGAACAGTTGGTATATTTACTGTGGTCCACTGTGAATTAATAAAATATGGGTTTATAGATTTACAGATTATTTACAGTTTACACAACGTTCGTCTCATTCTGACCCAGTCGACACACGTCTGTATGTTTTATGCTCTGATTATCACGCGTGCTGTCATTTATTTGTTCTTCTTCTCTGCTGGCTGCGCAAAAACCTGCTCGTCAAGAATAATAAGGCTTTTCTCACCTAACTTTCATTTTCTCTCAGAAATGTGTTTTTCTGCAAACAAACCTGTGGTTAGGTTCTGGTTTTGGCTGCAGAAATAAGCTTCTGATATCAGGGCTCTGTCGAGGAGGGGTGGGGGTGGTGGGGGGGCTTTATTTCATTAACCTCCCACAACCAAAGGCCTAAAATAAAAGATCCAGTTGTGAAGGAGACACTGGAGGTGGAGATAAGGTGCTTTCAGTGAGCAGACAGGCTGGAGGGATGAAATGATTGTGGTGTTATCTGCTGTCCTGTGGGTTCAGGCCTGCAGGCAGGAGGTCCACAGAGTCAGGACCACCTCCACTAAGCTTTTACTTGTTTTAGGTCTGAAAACTCTTTTAAGGTTTGTGTACTTGTCAGTGCTTTTTTTATTTATTTTTTTTAGAAAGGGCAGAGTTTCAGCTCTGGGAAGATGAGCAGGAAAATGGGTAATAAGAGAAAAGTGCCAGCAGCTCAGAATGCTGGTGGTAATCCGGTTATTCCCGCCGGCTCTGGAGATACTGCTCCTCTCTTTAGCAGTCTATCTGCTCCTCTTATGTCCAAACTGTCCTCCATGCACTCAGGTGGATTAAAGAGTCACGCTGCAGACAGAAACTGACAGGTACTGAAAGAGCCGGGGGTGGAGAGGACATGAAAGGTGACAGAGAGGCAGGCTGGAAACTCCTGACAAAATAAATGAAACGCAGGTTAAAAGAAAAATTAGACTTTTATAAATGAAGCATCGCCTGCTGAAGAAAGATGCTCCTGCCTGCATCCACGTGAGTTCTTTGCCTGTTAGCAAAATGTCTCATGAACCACTCAATAGATTTTAATGAAAGTCTCAGAAAATAATCATTAGATGAAGATCTATGCTTAACTGGTTTTTAAAATGGCTGCCACAGATAAATGGCTTCAACTCGGTCAGTTTTAGTGATTTTGACCTGAAACCTGCTGAGGTAGTAGCTGAGAGTCATCTTCAACTTATACTTAAAGCACCAACTGATTGTAAAAAAAAAACTGATATTGAAWCTTTGCCCATTTCCAGTGGTGGGCACAGTACCCCTAAAGCACTAATAGGGAAACTAATTTCCTGATTAGTGCTTTAGGGATTTTGCTATTTTTTAAATTTATTAGTGGATTAGCACTTGCTAAATAGACTAAATTTAGAAGCACTAACTGAGGTCTATAAATGTTATTGATCAACGTTAACGTTAACAGCTGAGGGTGAAAGCTGTCAAGAGTCGAGGCAGACGGTCTCCTGTCCTGAGCCTGGTTCTGCTGGAGGTTTCTTCCTGATTAGCAGGGAGTTTTTC